ATTAAACATTCTAACTCGCACTCTACGGCAAGTTAATATATAACTGTGTGTGTGTGTGTGTTTGTATAAGAATGAGTGTGCGTGTGTGTGTGTGAAGTGTAAATGTGAATGCAAATATGTTTATATATAAAGCTGCCATAACCGAAAGTTAGAAATAAGGAAACAGAATATTTAATTATAGGAAATAGAAAAAATTACATATACAAAGATGCCTATATACAGGGTGTTCTTTTGTCCAGATCTTAAATGCTACAAAAAGTTAAATCTACTATTATATACTTTCAAGCTTAGCCTAATTTGAATATTGAAGCAACATGCGCTAACGATATGCAAATTGTTTTGGAATTTGCGTGCATTTCCCTCCAGCTTTCAGTGGATTAACTAAAAGGCCTCAACAACAACTTAACATGATAAAAATACTAACATTTTACACACTCGCATATTGAATAAATATATGTACTAAATTTGCAAAAAATATCAAAGGGGGTTGCGTAGAACCAACTACAAAACTTGGGCTTTCAGAGTTCGAAGAAAACAATAGACAAATCAAAATAGAAAAAAGCCTCAAATACAGTTTGTGTTGAGCTTCTCTAGACATTAAATAGTGTTTAGGCTCTTGAGTCCAAATTCAATTGACTTCCAAGTCGCAATTGAAATAAATAATTAACTTATCTAAACATTTACACAGTTGTTAATGCAGCTGCAGCTGTGGCAGCCACTACGCTGGGCCGCCTCTTCTTAATGGGCGGCGTATCAGATTCAATTTCGGGATTGATGCTTGACGATGGCGCAGGCGACTGTTCTTCGGTGGAAGCTGTACTGCGTCGCTTGTTGCTGGGACTGCTCGCGGCAGAGAGTGCAACTGGTACATCCATGGCGCTGCCATTGGTAATTTCGGTGACAATATGTGCTTCCAAGGCTGGCGGCAGTAGCGGTGACAGGGGCACCGCATTTAAATCGCACGCTTCCTCGTCGCTGGCCACAACGTTGCCAAAGAGATCGCCGTCGCGCACACTTGCGCCATCATCATCATCCTCGTCATCGCTGCAATCGCTATTCCAGAACACCTGAGCGCCTGGAAACACATACGAGCAACCGTTCGGATTGCAGTAGAACGTTCCGGGCTGCAGACGTTCAGCCGTAGTCTGACGCTGCGGCCGCTGCGGCGGCGTAGGCGTCAAGCTGGGTGCGGCTGTCTTTGTTTCCACCACCATATTCGCAGCAATGCTGGGATCCATATTACTGGCATAGCCACGATTGGCTTCGATATTACTGGCATTGGAGAATTCGCATTGCTCAATGCCACTGTCCTTGGAGGAGTCAATGGAGAGATGACGATAACTGGACGTTGAGCTAGTTGCCGCTGGAGTTACAAGCCGATCGCAGCTCAATGCCGTCTCATTCAATTCCACAAGTATGTCGCTCTTGATACGTTCAATGGCGGCGCATTCGGCTGCGTTGCTGTGGTTGTTGATGCTGCTGCTGCTGCAGATTTGTTGTGGTTGCTGCTGCTGCTGTTGCTGGTGGTTGCGTTTGCTGTGCACTGCCGTGAATGTGGAAGACTCGAAACCGCTGTCGGAGCATGTGCCTGCCGAGGAGCCGAGCAAATAATCAGTAGACCCATTAGACTTTAGCGATTGGGTGTCTGTGTCCAGTTGGGATTGTTGCTCACTCTCCGAGCTTCGATGCCGATGATGGTGGCGATGATGATGGTAATAATGATGCTCTGTCGGCGGCAGTAGCTCCTTGGATTCACGCAACACTTGATCGTCACAACATAGCTGCTTCCAGTCATTGTCATCGTAGGTGGAACCGGAGCCCGAAAGACGTTGACAGATTTGGTTGATAATCACATCCGAGTCGCCCAATAGTTCAACATCGAACTTGAGATGATGCAGCTGCTCGCGATTGATCAATATTTGCGGCACCGAGGCGGGTATGCTGCTGGGAATGTGTGCGACGGGTCGTACCTTCAGCGAAGAGCCAATCACAATCAACAAATCGCATTTGTCCTTATCCGTGGCCATAACTGTGTGGTACTCATCCGGCAATCCTGTAAACAAGACAAGTTATATATGAAATATGCCTATGCTATAAATATTCTATGAAGATTTTATAAGACGCCCCTTTGCGCTCATCAGATCATAAAAATGATATTTTTTGTCATAAAATTGAACTTTTGTTGAGTACTAACAACAATGTTGAGTGTTGGAAAACGTCATAGTTTTTTAAAATGTCTCATTTAGAACCATAAGCAGTTGATGGTCGGAATGTGGCGTTGCCAGAATTTATTTTGTACGAAGGTAAGTTGGCAGCATCTCAACATATCCTTCGCCAAATTGGTTTTAATGAGAGACTGAATCTTAATTAATTAATTAAACTTAAATTATTAGCTAAAATTAAAGTGAGTACTCACCTTCACCAAAGAAGACAATATCGGGCTTCATGATGCCATTCTCGACAAGCTGCTTCAGCTGCTCCTCTGTAACAGCGACAGAGGCATCAACACTGTGCTCCACATTCGGCTGGCACTGGGGGCAGACGGGTATGCGCTGGGCAAAGATATCCGCTCGCAGGGCGTCGGCATTGCACTTGTACTTGCACTTGGTGCACGAGGCCGTCGAAAAAGAGCCATGGCATTCAATGACCCGCTGTATGCCTGCGACACGCTCTAATGTATCTATGTTTTGCGTATAGTTGCGCAACAGTTTGCCCTTGGTCTCCAGCATCTTGATGAATCGGTGGCATGGTGAGGGCTTGAATTCGCCTGGATAAATCTCACGAGCAAACTTATAGAAAGGCCGGGGATCGCGCTTGAAGTAGTTAATGTCAAACATGGCCTGTGGATCGGGCAAATCGGGAAAATCATGCGCTAGCCGTGCATAGATGCCGTTTGTGGAACGAAAATCAGGTATGCCGCAAGATACAGACACACCAGCTCCAGTGAGTACAATAATCCTCTCCGACTTGTGCACTAGTTCGATGACATCGTCAAAAGTGTTCACGTTGCTCAGCTTGGTGCGACGCTTTGGCTCGTTGAGCAGGTGTGCCAGATAGTCCCACAGCACCGAGTCGTCTGTGTCCGTGGCCAGCCCAGTGGCAAAGTGCGGCATTATACTGGCAATAACCTGGCGTGGCACGCGACCAGTGTAAAATTCGCGCTGGAGCCAACGCAGCTTCCAGTCGCTGCGACCCACCGACGAGCAATCCGAGCTGGACGAGTCATCGTCATCGTCGTCATCGCTGTTGGCCCAGCTAAAAAAGTTATAAATAATTATTTTTTAAACAAAATATGGTTTTAGGGTCTATTTAGATTTCCAGCTCATATACTGAAAATGTTTGCCAATTGTGTTACAAAAAAAGAAACCAGTAATAAAATAAAATAAATTAATTTTTATTTAACTAAAATTTCCAAATACAGTTCGAACTTCTTTGCTCAAAAAATTATATGTTGTTTTGGCCAGTTACACATTAGTATTAGATGTATGAATAAGTTAAATTTGTTATTTTTTTGGGTTTTTGTGCATGTCACCAATAACTGTAAAATATTTTGCATCAACTCGTTTAACGGTATATACCTTGATTTGTAATCTTCATTTTCATCCTCATCCCCCTCATCGTCATCATCCGCCTCGGAGAAGGACTTGTCCAGACTTTTTCTATGCTGGTCACTTTGCTCCAATTCATTTATTTGATTTTTGTCATTTCGATTGGCGCCAATTTTTTGTTCTCCCATTTGAGGCAATGTTTTTGTTTTGATTTCACTATTTGCTTTTGGTTGCGTTTCGCTTGTTGCTGGCGTCGTCGCTTCTGTTGCTGCTGATGATGTTGTTGCTGTTGCTGCTGCTGCTGGCTTAACGTTTGTTGTCAGAATTTCAGCGCCAAAATCAAAATTCGACTGTGAGCTTTCAAAACTGTTAAGTTCATCGTGTCCGTTTTGTAGTTTGACTTCATGGACAGCCATAAGCTCTTTCGAGTTGATGTGTCCTAGTCGGATATTCATGTCCTCATAGTTTTCCATCATTTTTCCAGGCGCAACACAGTATTCGTCTATTTCGCTTTGTCTGCTTCTTACCACACACTCACGCACACTACCAGCGGGTAGTTACGATTTCTTCTTTTTACTTTCTCGCGTTCCGTTTTCTCCTCTCTTTCGTTGGTACACACACAAAATTTTTACGTCTCTACTTTGCAACCATTTTGCTTGCGTAAAAATTTTGTTTAGCTGATAAAAAATGCACTTTTTTAATTTAAACACTTTTATATCCGATATTTACGTTTAAATTAAAATTTGTGTATTTTTTAAAATAATTTTCAATTAAGTATTTTCGTGAAATTTGTACGTAATTTCTGGAAAATTTTCCGATGATGTGACGTACAGACCGCCCAGTGTGCCCAAAGCAAACGTTGGAACAAATAATTAAATTTCACCACGCCCAGCGTGTTATCTTCAGAGACACGCATTGATGACTCATGTCGGTATTTTGCAAGCAACCAGCATATGGTCACACAACAATAATGTGGTGTTCGACTGCAAAAAAGGGAATAATACCTTATATATAGGGATCATACGTGAAAATATATATGTAGATATGCAATATTAGGTAAACATATTATATTTAAATATAGAATAGTTTGATATTATCGTGATACGGTTTTTTATTTAGGCTGACCCTTGTTCATGCATATATAGCATATTTTTGCGTTTTACAGCACTTATTTTTTGGTTGTCGCCACAGTCACCCCTAACAATGCACTTACTATTTTCTTTTGCATTCTTTGATTTTGAAGTGTTATAGTATTTGGTTACGAAAACAAAATTAAAAATGAATAATTAAGGAATACAATAAAAAATAAGTAGAGTGGCTATATTTTAAGAGTTCGGTAAGCTTTTACTGTGGCCTGCGCAGCTGCTAACACAGCTGTTTTGCATGGGATTATTGGTATAGGGCGAATAGGAAAATAAAAAGAGAACATAAACACATAAGCATCATAGCAATATGAACTAAAAATTATTGTGTCACAATCATAAAATATTCAAAATTCATACAAGTATGTGTGGGCATTTTCGTTTTATTTAGGGTCTACCGCGCAATCGCAATGGAAAACCTAAATTTGTACAAAGTACTTGGCGTGACCAAAGATGCGACCCCGGACGAAATCAAGAAGGTGCGAGGTCTTATTACCCATTTCAATTTTAATACAACGCGCTTAACTTAGAACTATCGCAAATTGGCGAAAGAATTTCATCCGGACAAGAACCCCGACTCGGGCGACAAGTTTAAGGAAATATCGTTTGCATATGAAGTACTCTCCGATCCGGAGAAACGTCGCATCTACGATCGCCATGGAATCAAGGGACTGCAGGAGGGCGCGGAAGGATTCACCGATACCTCGGAATTTTTTGCCCAATGGTTCCCATTTGGCGGCACGTCCAACGAACGTAGCAGACGCGACGGCAGAATAATGATAAGAATGGAGCTGACGCTAGAGGAAATGTACGTGGGTGGCAAACAAAAATCGGTGAGTTACAAGCGGCAGAAGCTATGTGACAAGTGCAATGGTGACGGCGGTCCACCGAATGCGCGCGAACCCTGTGAGGCCTGCGGCGGTGTTGGCCGTGCCGCAGCATTTACATTTATGGGTCTTGGCGCTTTCGATGCGGTAAGAGTAAAACCAGAAATCAGTATTTCTTACCTAATATCCAATGTGTGTCCAGGTTTGCCCCAGCTGCGATGGTCGAGGATTCAACATTAAGGAGACGATGCGCTGCAAGCCGTGCACCGGTACCGGCTTTGTTGAGCAACAAATGAAGCGCACAGTGGATATTGAGCCCGGCATGCCGCACATGCTGAAGATGCCCTTTGCCAATGAGGGCCATCAATTGCGCAGCGGTGAATTTGGAGATCTGTATGTGATCATGGTACAGGCTGAGCACGCGCTCTTTCAGCGTCGTCACTCAAATCTCTACATGCACGATTTAGAGATAAATCTGACAGAGGCCCTGTGTGGCTATTCGCACTGCTTTAAGCATCTGGATGGACGAAACGTTTGCATACGCACGCAGCCGGGCGAGGTGCTGCGACACAACCACATTAAAATGTTGCGCGGATCTGGCATGCCTGTTTTTAACAAGCCAGAAGATCATGGGGATCTTTATTTACAATTTAAGGTCAACTTTCCGGCCAACGATTTCGCCACGCCAGCTCAGCTAGCCACGTTGGAGGGTCTGCTGCCGCCGCGTGAACGCATTGTTGTACCGCCCGAAGCGGAAATCGTACAGATGACCGACTATAAGTCGCAGGGGCGTCGCGCCGACACCGAAGATGATGATGAATTTAATGGCCAATCGCCACACTTCGAAAGCGTCCAATGCCAGACGGCTTAGTTATGGGCATGGGCGTATCCGTGGCTGTTACAGGCTCGTTATCTCGCCATCGACCTTTGGAACCTTCTGTCAACGCTTGGCGTTGACGAGTTGTGCTTCTTAGTGCCGCTAGTCGTATTACTATGCATAGTATTATTTTTCATACAAGAATGTTTGCTGTGATCAGCGCGTGATCAAACTTTTGGCTCATTTTTAGGCTAGTGAATCTCAAATCAAACAGTTAATTTAGCTTAGCTAAATCAAAATATAAATGTCCTTACTGTTATTATTATCATTAAGCCCTCCAAATTCTATGTTTAAATATTAACTTTATCCTAAACTAACATATAAATTAAATACTCGATCAGCAATAATATACTTATTCCGTAATTAATAACCATAACAAACTAATACATATTTTCAACACAATGTTGAATTAATGCCTTAACGCTTTGCTAGTCTTCTACAGATGCTATGCTTAAAATTCCAGTCAAGGAATTCTTTAGATTTTAATGTGTTGAGGCAGCGCCTTATAATACCGTTGCAAAGGGTAGTATTAGGTGATCAACTGATCATGTAAACATTCAAGAATGCATATTATATTCTTTTGTCGTTCATAGCTTTGCCCGTCATGTATGTATATGTATGTCTATGTTTAAACTAGTTTGATGGATCGGATCACTATATTAAATATCTGCATGTTATTTCGGTAAAGAAACTGAGACACTGAAACCCTATTATGTTTTTTTAAGATAAACTTGACTAATTATCAATGTTATTATGTTTTTAAGTTTTCCCCGAGTCGCACTAGCATCTCTAATCGAAACAAATATGCCATGACCAACCTTAATATAAGTGATGTTACAAAACTTTTACAAAATTATATCCACATTGGACAACCATACAAGTTTTATAAATTTAAATAAAAATTTTTTTGTTGTATCCTCATATGTTATCTCTATATGTAAAACTGTTTGTCCTAACTGACTAACTGATTGGTGATCAATTCAAAATTCATGTGAAAAAACATGCATACATGCATACATACATGCATGCATGCACGAATGCATACATACATGCATGCATGCACGCATGCATACATACATGCGTGCATGCGCGCATGCATACATGCGTGCGTACATGCGTGCATGCGCGCATGCATACATGCGTGCGTACATACATACACACATACACACACACACACACACACACACACACACACACACACACACACACACACACACACACACACACACACACACACACACACACACACACACATACATACATACATACATACATACATACATACATACATACATACATAAATACATACATACATACATACATACATACATACATACATACATACATACATACCTACATACCTACATACCTACATACCTACATACCTACATATCTACATACCTACATACCTACATACCTACATACCTACACACCTACATACCTACATACATACCTACGCCTCCTGCTCCGCCCCCTTGGTGCTCCTCCGGCTCCACAGCTTCCAGCGTTGAAGCCACCTGCGCCTAATTCATAAGTGAAGCCCGCTGGCCTTACTTAAAATTTTGAGAATCGAGGAGGAGGGCAGCGTTAATAATTACGTTGTTATTTAAATTTGCAGCGCAACAGAACAAATTGGTCTGCTATTGATATTGAAGACAATTTACATGCATGCATACATATAAACGCACATACATACACACACACACACACGCATACATACACACATACATACACACACACATTCACACATTCACCCATACACATATACATACATACATAATTACATACATTTAAATTCGATCAATTTAGCACCTAAAGCTGGCAACATTTTTATTTTGGAAAAACTAACTTTTATTTCTAGATTATTTTAATTTCAATTTTCAAGTGAAACATTTAACGCAGTTTATTGGAGTATGAAAAAAAAACGATAAATACGTAACTATATAGAGAGAAAATAAAATGTTGTATAAACTAAACCCAGAACAATTCCAATGTCCGTCTGTCGTTAAGAATTTAAAACAATTCCAAGTATTGTAATCCCAAGCAAACCAAGTAGTCTGTTTTTTGGAGCTGCCCAAGATGTGTGGAATAGCAAAAAGTCTCGCTTTAGTTGCGCGTGTCATAGAGCGCGTGATGATAGCGATCCTTTTTGGCAGAGTCCTGTGGGTGCTTGCTGGATTTACTGTATAGCTGTGTCTGGTTTTCATCGTGTTGTTTCTTGCTTTGTTTTTGCTTCGGAAAGCTGCGCTCATTGAGCAGATCGTTCGGTGCCAGAGCTTGCTCCGCGTACGGCTTGCAGGAGACACGCAAATCGAGTGCAGCCAACGATTCTGTGTGCGATTCTAGGCCCAACTGGGCTTCGCTGTGCTCCTCCTCGAACGGTGGCACAGTAAGGAGCTGTTGTTGCTCGGCGCTGCTCGGCTGCATCTCGCCGCAGCGCATGGTCTTGGCATCAGCTGCCTGCTCCGCACTGACCTTCATCAGGGTCAGATATTGATTGTATTTGGCATAATTGCGTCTGCCCGTCTCGTCGTTCATCAGCACCTGGGCCTGGATGTGCGACTTGTCGCGCATGGCCTTTAGTCGAATATGCTTGGTTATGTCCCAGCGCCAGTTGGAGCGATACGAGCAGAGCGAGCACTCAAATGGCTTGCGATTCAGATGGCCAACGATGTGGACATGGAAGCGCGATGCGGTGGCCGCCCAAAATGTGCAGTGTGGACACTTGAAAACCTTCTTCAGTGCATCTGAGTCCTCCGGCTGCAGCTGCTCGGTAACCTGGGGCAGAGTTTAAGTTAAAATCTTTTTGTCCAGCTTGTGTGCGTGTGAGCCTTACCTCGCCATAGCCGGGCGCCGTTTCTATGCCGCAGTAGCTGAGATCGTTGCCAGCGCCGCGATAATCCTCATCCGTAGCCACCTCCATGTCGCAGGCCAGCTGCGTGGTATTGCGCAGCGCCGGCTCGCACTGCTGCAAATGGTTGACCAGCTCCATGGCATTGGGCACTCGTTGCTGGCAATGGGAGCAAATGATGGGCGGCAGCTCCGACAACGGCGAAGTAGAGCCCATTGTCTCCACAGGACTGGAACAGGGCTCGGTGTCTAGAGCTGGTTCCGCTGGCTCCGTAGATTCCTGCGTCCCGCTGTGCTGATGTTCCTGTGTTGCAGAGCGTCTGGTCACATGGTGGTTGAGCTCGTGTATGGTAAGCGATTGCTTGATATTGGTGCTGAAATCACAGACGCCGCATTTGAAATAGCCATTGGCGCCATGGTTCTTGGTGTGCCTGTCCAGATTCCACTTGTAGGGCGAGTGAAAATCACACGAGCCGCACTTGATCAACGGCATGGAATGGTACTTGACATGCTTCTTGAAGCGCGCACGGATCGGTGTGCTGTACGAGCATTTCTGGCACTGGTACTGGGTGACCGAGGAGCCGGCGGAGAGATCGAGTGCTTCGGGAGTGGCACATTCATCCGCCTGCGGCAGCTCCTCCGAATCGGAGCTGCTGTTCTCCGGCTCACGTTCCGGCTCCTCCGGCGGTCGGCTGTTGGCCACATTCATGCCGGTTGTGGGCGGCAGCATGCACATCTGAAACTCGAAGGCCATCGAGAATATGTTGCCGCTGCGCGAGACCATCTGCTGCAGCTGCTGCAGCTGTTGCTGTCGATTGAAGGCCTCCACATTGTTGAGCAGCTGCTGTTCCTGCAGCTGCAGCTCGCTCTTCAGCTGCTTCAGCGAGGGTCCACCTTGCAGCGCCGTTCCACCGATCGCCAAAACACCACCAAAAGGAACACTAGCACCACCAGCAACCCCACTTCCGATAATGGGCGCTTCGATGCTCTCCTCGAGGCGACGTTTGCGCGCCTCCCGATTGCAGTGGCGCCTGCCAGCTATGCCAGTGCTGTCATCATCCGAGCAGCCATGCACCATCTTCATGTGCCGCACCAGCTTCTGGAAGTGCCGCGAGGCATACAGGCACAGCTTGCACTCATTTATCACAATCTTCTCGCCGTGCACATCGCGCAGATGCGACAAATGGCTGCGCGGATTCTGCGTGAAGAAGGCGCAGGCATTGCAGCTGTAGTTGCGCCTAATCTTGCACTGCGGCAGCTCCTCCTCGGCCCTTGGCTCCAGCTGCAGATACGTCGCCGCCGGCTCCTTGCCCTCCTCATCGCCGGGCAGCACAGTCTTGGGAATGGCCAGCGGCAGGATCAGCGGCAGCGGCTGGCTGGCCGTTCGGTTGTTGAGCATCTGAAGCTGTCGCTCGAGCATCTCGGCGCCCACCAGCGGGTGCGCGGCATTCGCACTGACACGCCCAGCAGCTGGCGCGCCGCCGCCTTCTTTGGCCTCCATTGCGGTCTGATAGACCGTGGCACCGCTCACCAGGCTGCGCACCACCAGACGACTACCGGAACGCTCCACCATCGACGGCAATTCCATGTCGGCGAAGTTTTTCACGATTTGCCGATGTCTTGAAGAAATGCGTTTGTTTGTTTTCAAAGTTATCCCGATTTTTCCAGAAGTTTTAATTTTTTTGTTTTAGGCGAGATGTTAACACTACGTTAGCACACGTTGAACTAAACCACTGTCAGACCGTCAAACCGATGGTCGACTTTTTTATTACGCAAAGGCTACTTGGGTCTCGAATTTCAAAGCGGTTCCTCGAGTCCCATGCGTGCTATGGGAAAGTCTGTCAAAATGGTTGATTTAACCACACCAAAAATATATACACATATATATGATAAGCCAGACACGACACTGGAATCAACTGAGTTCTGAAAGTAAAAAAAGGAAAATCAAGTGGAAATCTGTTAAAAGATCGGCGCTGCGATAGAGGTAAGTTAGACGAGAGGGCGAGGGCAGAGAAACTCGGAAAACTGGCCCCAAAATGACAGCAAAAGATAGGCCACAATGCCTATGTACTATATAGACCAAATAACTTATATAAATAGTAATAAAAAAATAAAAAGAAAACCTCAAGCAGTATAGGAAAATCTAACCTAAAGATTATCATTTTCAAGGATGCTAAAACGAGGCAGAAAACGTACTCAACTCACGTTAAGAGTATCTAAAAAAAAGCTCACCACAAAAGCCTTACAATAAGTATAGAAGCGGAAAAGCAAAAACTAACCTCAAGGATTTTTGTTAGTAATACAATGGGGCGGAAGGTGTACTCACCTCACGTTTACTATTTAGGTATAAATAAAGTTATAAATAAAATTAAAAGAAATATACAACCTAAGACATTGATTACAATAGATACAAAAGGAATAGATATAATAAAGGAAAACTAAGGATATTGCTGGAGATTATAGAATGG